GGGAAGGAAGGAGGGAGGGAGGGAGGGAGGGAGGGAGGGAGGGAGGGAGAGAGAGAGGGAGGGGAAGGGAAGAGAAGAGGAACTTGAGAAAATGCTAGCAATGAATGAGCATTATCATTTCACAGTTCTACAGAATTCCACTTCAGTAAGAAGTAAACCTACGCTGGGTAATGCCAGGTGCGCTGGCACATTCACTTAATCACAGCACTGGAGAGGCAGAAGCAGGTAGAGCCCTGTGAGTGTGAGGCCAGCCAGGTCTACAGAGTGAGTTCCAGGACGGCCAGGGCTACATAGTCAGAGTCTGTCTCAAACCAAGAAGTAACCCTACATGAGCAGCATAATATACATGTATTATACACTTATATTTCACTTAGGAGTCACTCCATGCCAAGGTTATTACGTAGCACATCCCCAATCCCTAATTTCCACCAATGAAAATAGCAACTAGGTCTTTCACATCAACCAGTGAGCAGACTAAAGACTACAGTGAACAGAAGGCCCCCAAAGGGGAAGGCTCGGGGCTGAGGAGAGGGCTCAGTTGACAAGTGCTTTCTACACAATATAAGGGCCTGAGTTCAGATCCCCAGCACCCATCTAAAACAAAAAACAGAACACCTCAGCCCAGGGGAAAGCAGCTGTACTCCCAGTGCTGAGGACCCTGAGACAAGAGGACCTCCGTAACTTCCTGCTCAGTCATTTAAGTTAAACCAATGAGCTCCAGACAAAGACTGACTCAAAAGCAGGTGGAAAGGGCTACAGAGACGGCTCGGCAGTTAAAAGCACTTGCTGTTCCTGCAGAGGACCTGGGCTTGGCTGGCCAGGTCCACTCAGATTGCAGCCATCGGTCACTGCAGTTTCAAGGAATTCAGCAATCTCTCCCGACCTCCTCAGATAGCAGGCACATGGTACACATACGTACATGCAGGCAAAACACTCCTACACATAAAATAAACACAGTCTTAAAAGGGAAAATAAAAAATTATAAGGAAGGAATAATAAAGGAGGACACCTCTGGCCTTGATACACACTTATATGTATATACACGCAAACACATACACGGAGAAACACAACATAAGTAAAAATATATTTTTTAGAAAGTGAGGAAACAGATTCATAAAGTCAAAGCACACACGATGGTGTATACAAGCAGTCCCAGCTCTCTAGGAGCCGAGGCAGAGAGGTGGCGTAAGCCCAGGAGTTCAAGATTAATACCAGTCACAGCCACACAGCAAAATGGATGGGGGAATAAACTGAAGAACAACTCAAGAACTAACTGCCTGACCTGAATCAAGACATGACAGAGACCTAGGGAAAGCCATCAGAGCCTCTGCTCTATGACAGAGATCGTGTCTACTCTTCGATGAGGTGCTCAGTGCGAAGGAGACATACCCTGTGTGCGTGTGTGTGTGTGTGTGTGTGTGTGTGTGTGTGTGTGCAAATGTGCATGCTCTGATGTGTGCATGTATATATGTGTGAGCTGGCGTGTATGTGTAGAGGTCGGGAGATTGATGAGCAAGCATTTTTAGTAGTAGTTTGGGCAAACCACAAAGTCACCTTTTTCCTACCTACTGGTAACTCCAGGGTTTTTTTTGTTGTTGTTATTGTTGGTTTTTGTTTTTTGTTTTGTCTTGTTTTATTTTCGAGACAAGATTACTCTGTGTAGCCCTGGCCATCCTGTAACTCACTCTGTAGACTAGGCTGGTCTTGAACTCAGAGTTCCACCTGCCTCTGCCTCCCAATGCTGGGATTAAAGAGGTGGGCCACCACTGCCTAGCTGTCAACTCCAAGTTACAAACACTTGTTTGAAAAGAATCATATTTAGGGGGAAAAGATTACATATAACATTTCCAAGAAACATACCTCACTGAACTGCTCAAGCAGGACAGACGGCAAGAAATCCTGAGGGTGCAGGCCCACAAGAGGTCCAGTCCAGTTACTCTGGACAAACAGCTGTAAGCTGCTCACACCAAGTAGGAATACCAGCTGCTGTCTACAAAAAAGAGTGGTAACGGTCTTAGTTAAGGTTTCTATTGCTGGGATGGAAAAAAATGCAAGTTGGGTAGGAAAGGGTTTGTAACTTCAGCTTACAAGCACCAGGTCACACTCTGTCAGTGAAAAAAATCAAGACATAAAGCTGTAAGTAGAGACTAAAGCAAAGACCATGGGAGAACACTGCTTACTTGCTTGTCCTCCGAGGCTTTCCTCAGCCTTTCTAATACTATTCTGAACTATTGACCCATGGGTGGGACTGCCACAGTGAGCCGGGACCTCCCATAGCAGTCATTAATCAAGAAAATGCCCTACAGACTTGCTTACACCAATCTTACTGAGGTGTTTTCTCAATTAAGATTGCCTGTTCCCAGACACGTCGAGTGTGTCAAGGTGACAGAAAACAACCAGCACAGAAAATAAACAGCTACTGACCACCATCACCAGAAGCCTACATGCGTACTACTGGATTTCAGTTTAACTGAGAAAAAAAAAAAATCACTAGGTGAGACTATCCTAATGTTTTACAATTTATATCTTTAATATCCATTATATCATTAGCCACATGTGGCTTTTAAATTGAATTTAATCTAGGGCTGTAGAGACAGCTCGGCAGTTAAAAGCACTGGCTGCCCTTCCCAAGGATCCAAGTTTGATTTCCAGCATCCATCTGGCTGCTGACAACTGTCTGGAACTCCATTTCCAGAGGATCACTGCCCGTGTCTGACCTCCCTCCACATGAAGTGCACAGGCAAAATACTCAGACATATAAAGTAAAAATAAATCAATCTTGAGTTAACATAAATGTAAATCTAATTTAACTTAAATGTACGATGTGGTCTCTAGTCATAGTTTCCATATTTCAAATGCTCAATGGCCAAGTATGAATAATGGCTACTTAGCTGACCACAAAGGACAAGAATATCCCCAGCATCCAGATGCTCTCTTGGAGAGTGCACCCTAGAGCAGGGCAAACAAAGTGCCTCTTTTCAAACCCCAACTCTGGTCCACCTACGAATAACGCACTTGTGTGTGTGCATGTGGTACAGAGGGAAGGAAGAGGAGAGATGTGAATGGGTACCACAAAGCTAACTTTACTACAGTACAAACACATCAGCCAGCAAACAGCAATCAAGAGAAAGCCAGGCCTAATGCTGAAGCCTGCAATCCCCACTGGAGGCTGAGGCAAGAGGATCACAAGTTGAAAGCCACTCTGGACAACTTAGTAAGACCCTGCCTCAAAATAAAAAGTATAAAAAAAGGGTCAGGGATACAGCCCACTGAGAGAATGTGTGTCTAGTGAGAAGCCGGAGGCCAATTCCAATGACAGAAGACAAAAGAGACAGAATAAAAACTAAGCTGGGCATGGTGGTATATACCTATCATTCCCAAATTTGGGAAGCTACAACAAAAAGATATAGCATTAGAAGCCAGCCTACAGTTTTTTGCAAGCTTCAGGCCAAATGAGTAATACAGCAAAGACACAGTCACAAAACATCAAAAATCAAGACTGACACTAGCAAATATTAGAAAAAATGAGACAGAATTGTATTAGCTTAAAAATAAACAGTAACATCCACCAGTGAACTACTTACAACCTCAGGGTAGAATGAAACTGTATGCATCCTAGGTGGTTAAGAATTTTAAGCAGCTGAGATGAGGACATGCTAACAAACATACAACAATAAAACCGAAGCCTCTAGAAGGCTTAGATTTGACTCATGTGCAGACATTTTAATGGAAGAACGGTAAACTGAGGAATCCATGATAAACACATGAAGTTCTCTGATCTCTCCAGAGATAACAACCCGAAACACAGTAAACATAGATGCAAGCATCTCTCAGGAACCTAGAAACAGCAAGACTCAAGGGACGTCTACAAGTTTAAGAAAATGAACTGCCCCCTTGAAAGTGCATGCCTTTCATCCCAGCCCATGGGAAACAGAGGACGGACATCTCTGGGAGTTTGAGGCCAGCCTGGTCTACAGAGTGAGTTCTAGGCCAAGGGTACATAGTGAGACCCTGTCACAAAACAAACAAAAAAAAAAAGTAAAGGAACAAAAAATCAACAAGCAACATAAAAGGAAACAAGCTGATGGCTAACACTCAAGAGACCTGAGCGTTGGGACGTTTGGCAGTGATCACCAAGACATATCATTCTACTCATTTTGATCCTACACCACTCTCCTTTTCCATTCTAGAAGATCTTCTAGACCAGAGACCTTACAGAGATTACTTGGCACACCATGAGTCCAGGTATTTCAACAACTACAAAATACCAGGGCCTTACAGTGTCAACTTATTTATTTATTTATGTATTTATTTATGTGTTTATTTATTTATTTGACATAGATGAGCGTTTTGCCCAGGTGTACACTTATATGCTACACGTGTACTAATGTGCATGGATGTCAGAAGAGGGTGTTGGATCTCCCAGAACTGGAGATGTAGGGTTGTGAGCCACCAAGTGGATGGTGGGAATTGAACCTGAGTCCTGTGAAATAGCAGTAAGTGCTCTTAACCACTAAGCCAACTCTCCAGCTCCCCACCTAGTGCGTTTCTCTGTGGAAATTTCAAATACAATTCTACCTTTCAATTTCTTCCAAATCTGTAGAGCAATCCAGGAAATTCACTATCTGCTTCTCCAGGTAGCTGTCAATCTTTTCTTCAGCCATCACTGTTGAACTTAAAATATTTTGTGTCGTTGAATGTAGGAACATGGCCTCATAACTCCCTTCTAAGAGCAATTCTAAGAAAACTCCAACATCTGTAATATTAAAGACGAGTTCAGTAAGGCAACAGAATTTCTAAAGTGTAAATGATAATCCATTACATAAATATCTTAATATGTAAAAAGATATAAACAGAATACTGGCTTCAAAGTCTCATTCTACCAACAAATATCTCTCCCAGAAATACACGATACCTACAATTACTGTGAGCAGCAAATAATAACAATGATGATGATAATGATGATGACAGGCATATCACTCTTCCTCAGGAAATTCACAGATTCCAATTGACACAGGAAAGTATTCCTCCCTACCTTCAGTATTCTCCCCCAGGAAGCGAATCCAAACACATCGGTTCTCTCATGATTCCCTCATATTTCCCCAGGCATATGTTGATCTCAACATTTTTACAACAGTGATTTTTTTTTCCTGCTGAACTCTATTTTACTTGTCAGTTCTAAATTTAAAAACCATTGGAAGTCTGTCTTTTGGAAACTTTTGCCAGACTACCAGATCTCAGACCATCAAGCGAAACTTCCTCCCTCTTGACACCTCCTATGTATCCAGGGCTGGCATCCTTTGTCCTCACAAAGCCTAACTCCCCGAAGGTGCAGCTCTCTCACCTGAACCACAGATGCCCTCCTGCTTCCATAACAGCCGCTCCGCCTCCGTGGAGAAGCCCCTCAGAAGCGCCAGCTCCGGCGTCCACATCACTCCCGGCATCGCTGCACGCAATACAGTGTCCCACGAGGGAGGAGAAAAGCGAAAGGAGGAGGGTCCAAAGTCGCCGGCGTCTATTCACGACAGGTAGCGTAAAGACACTCACAAGCCTAGAGTCCCATGTGAGACTACTCGTACATGGAGGCAGCCATGACAGCAACGCAGAGCATCCTGGGAAAACAAACCCACGCTAGCTCAGCTTCCTTCTAGACGGCCAATCGGAGAGTCGGTTGTGAGCATGCGCAGATCACAGTTCTCTGCTGCAGCGTTGGTTTAGAGGAAGTGAGTTGACTGGGTCGGTAGGCTGTGGTCTCAGTGGCCAAGGGCTGTTTTGGGGGAGATAATTGAAAGCAAATCTGCGTGAGAACATGGGACTGACTACCTGAGACAAAACTAAGTCCTTGGAGGTTAATACATGGAGCCTTTTCTCCCAGCAGATGGGCACCGGCTGTAGAAGTTACTTCTAGCGGAGCCCTTGAGCCCCAGGCTAGAACTTCCTTCCTTGGCATAGGCTATCCTTTGGATGATTCAAAGTGCAAGAAAGCCAAGCTGGAAGTGTAATCTTAGCACTGAGGATGACGCAGGATGGTTGCAACTTCAAAGCCAGACTAAGCTTCACCCTTAGATCCAAGCTAGACTCCTCTAAAGTGTGTGGGGGCGCCTGGTGAAATGGCTCAACAGAGAACAAAGTTCTATTCCTAGCACCCACAAGGTGATTCATAATCCTTATTCCGGTAATATAATATAATTCCGGTAACTCCGGAAGATCGGTTACCCTCCTCTAGCCTTGCAGGCACGAGACCCGTAAATGGTACACAAACATTCTTGCAAGCAAACATACACATAAAATAAAAAAGGCAGTGATGTTGCATGTCTTTAATATCAGCACTCTGGAGCAAAGGCAGGCAGATCTCCGAGTTCAAGGCCAGCTTGGTATATAGAGCTAGTTCCAGGACAGCCAAGGCTACATAGAGAGACCTTGTCTCGAAAAACCAAATAAGAATACGTTGAATCTGGTTGTGATCACTGCCCTGAAGAAATACGAGGAAGCAACTGAAGTTTCTACCATTACAAAAAATTATCTGTACACATTTGCCTCTACGCTGTGAATTCCAAGTAAATAGCTAATAAAGGAAGGTTTGGCTCCGTGGAGAAAATCTGAACTAGGATGTGAGCAAAATGGGCAAATCTGTCTCAAAACAAAAAGATTTTAAAAAACAAACAAAACAAAACAAAGACTTCTGGGGCCAGCAAGACTGCTTGGTTGATAAAGGAACTGGCTTGTGCCTGCTAATCTGAGCTGCACAGTGGGGGTTCACTCTGTGGAAGGAAAGAACTGACTCCCTCCAGCAGATCATCCTCTGAACGCCATGTTTACCATGGCACATGCACATCCACAAACAAACACAAAATAAAACAACAATGTTATATAGATTTAAAAACCCCAGCCCTCAACATTGTTATATTAATGGCCTTTACTAATACTACCGCCAAAATTAAGTCGGATATTACACTGAATATACTAGCTGAATTATGTGGCTTTGTAATTCAGAAATGGAACAGAACTTTAAACAGCTATTTTCTTTTTTTTTTTTTATTTGATTTTTCGAGACAGGGTTTCTCTGTGTAGCCCTGGCTGTCCTGGAACTCACTCTGTAGACCAGGCTGGCCTCGAACTCTCGAACTCAGAAATCCACCTGCCTCTGCCTCCCAAGTGCTGGGATTAAAGGCGTGCGCCACCACTGCCCGGCAAAACAGCTATTTTCTTGATAGTGCAAAATGGAAAACTCTGTTTAATCTCCAAAAGCCAAACGCTGAAATAGTTGAAACAAGCATTTAAAAAGCACAGCCATGTGAAGAAGTTGCCTGAAAGGTATAGAACTACTGGAAACTAGCACCTACATTATCCATGAAACAATTACTACACTGTACCCCTTTCCTAGACGTAGAGCCCTCTGCCAACAATTATAGTCTAAAGCAAATAAGATTAAAAGTAAATGGGAGGGTTGTTAATAAGATTTAAAAAATTACTTTAGAACTGTTGGGTTCCAGTGTCTCCAGAAAGCATGAAAGCCATTGGTAAAACACGCCTACAAGTGAGGCATATCTCTGTCAGATATGTCCCATGATTAATTTAAAATCTAGGTTTTAACAATACTTCTTTTTTTAGTTTTACTTAAACTCTCTCTAATTTAAAGTGCCAGCTTAATTTTTTAATGATTTTAAATGAATGTGGGGGAGGGGCCAGCTTCCCTGAGGTGGGAAGAATACATGAGCACCACCTGGAGGCACCTAACTCACAGGCACCAGGAGCCTTGCTTGTCTCTACACCAAGTTACACTCACTTTAGCTTCAAGATAGTAGGTAAGTCTTGAAAATCATCGCTTTTTTTCCCTCCTGTCCTCTCCTCTCCCCTCCCCCTCCCCCTCCCCTCCCCTCTCCTCTTCTCTCTTCTCCTCTCCTCTCCTTTCCTCTTTTCTTCTTTTCTTTTTCAAGACAGGGTTTCCCTGTGTAGCCCTGGCTGCCCTGGAACTCACTCTGTAGACCAGGCTGGTCTCAAACCTGGAGATTGGCCCGCCTCTGCCTCATGAGTGCTGGGATTAAAGCCTTTAAAATCCTTTAAGCAAAGAAAAATTGGCTCAACTTCCAGCTCTCCTTCAAGACGCTCAAGATCACGCTCCCGATCCCCAGGCAGGGCACCAAAAGGTTCCAGAAGATCCGTCTCTGCTTCCCACCAGGCTGACTTTAAGGAAAAGGAAATGAGGAGGGAAAATTTGCAAGTTAAATTGACTCCACTTGTGTTGAAACAGTGTTACCGTGTACAACGGGGAGCCCGAGCACGTGGAGAAGAATGCCACACCTCATAAAAACAAGCAGGTAGGAAACACTCCTTCATCTGGCATCCTTTTTCTTTATTCCTTTTCCTTCAGACTCACACAGGAATTTGTTGTATTTTATTTGTTCATGTTCTGTTCTTAAGACTGTATATGATTTAACACATTTATTCTTGTACATTCACAGCCCTATAGAGATGTTGACTTAGTAATGTTTGCATTAAATATAAACTAAAGATATTTAATACTTTTTTTTTTAAACTAGGAAAGAGTCATTTTGTCAGCAGAAGACAGTTATATAACTACACAGTACAGCCTTCGTCCCAGAAGAGAAGAAGTCAAAGCCAAAGAAATAGAGTCCGAGGAACAAAACCTTGTCACCAAAGGACCCTCACCTTTGGGAAACTTTCAAGTGAGCATGCCACAGAGGAAAGACTTGGAGTTTGGAGGAGTACCTGGTGCGTCCTTCATCATGCTCGGCCTGCCCGCCTGTGTCCTGCAGCTACTGCTGCAGTGTGGGCAGAAGGACCCCAGGGTGCTCAGTTTCCCTCCACCTCTGCCAGCTCTCCACGAGCTGTGGGAAACCAGAGTGCGCGGCCTTTACCGCCTCTGGTTCTTCGTTCAAGCTCTCTTCTACCTTCTACCAGTCAGGAAGGTTGTAGAAGGAACACCTCTTGTTGATGGAAGAAGACTCACGAATAGACTGAAGGGACTGCATGCCTTCATCCTGACATCTGCAGCTGTAGGAACAGCAGTCTTCTAGGGCATAGAGCTGCATTACCTGTACACTCACAGCCTTCCGTTTGCACTGGCAGCTACTGGGTTTTCAGTGGTCCTGAGTGTTTACCTCTATGTCCACTCTTTGAAAGTCCCAAGGGATGAGCTGTCACCTGCCAGTTCTGGAAATGCCATCTATGACTTCTTCATTGGCCGTGAGTTAAACCCCCGGCTTGGTGCTTTCGATCTCAAGTTCTTCTGTGAATTGCGTCCTGGATTGATTGGATGGGTGGTTATTAACTTGGTGATGCTTTTAGCTGAAATGAAAATACAGGAACGCAGTGCACCATCCTTGGCAATGATTTTGGTTAACATTTTCCAGCTTTTGTATGTGGTGGATGCCCTCTGGAATGAGGAAGCATTGCTGACCACAATGGACATCATCCATGATGGCTTTGGCTTCATGCTGGCCTTTGGGATTTAGTGTGGGTTCCATTTACCTAAAGTCTCCAGGCCTTTTACCTGGTCAACCATCCCCATGACTTGTCCTGGCCATTGGCTTCTGTCATCATTGCTCTGAAACTGTGTGGATATGTAATCTTCCATTGTGCAAACTCTCAGAAAAATGCTTTCCGGAAGAATCCCACTGATCCAAAGCTTGTGCATTTGAAGACCATGCATACTTCCGCGGGGAAGAGTCTCCTTGTTTCTGGATGGTGGGGCTTTGTTCACTATCCCAACTACTTGGGTGACCTCATCATGGCTCTGGCGTGGTCCCTCCCATGTGGCTTTAACCACCTCCTGCCTTACTTCTATGTCATCTACTTCACTGCCCTGCTTATCCATCGAGAAGCCCGTGATGAACACCAGTGCAGGAGGAAGTACAGCCTCGCCTGGGAGAAGTACTGCCAGCACGTGCCCTACTGCATATTCCCCTACATTTACTGACCTGGGCTGCTTGCCCCGCAGCTCAGACCTGTCCCAGAAACAAGGAAAAGTCCAAATGAACTAACTTGATGCACTGACAGGATCTCTAGGTTTGTTTTTGAGTCAGGACTATAGAGCTAAATGGTATATCTTTTAATGTAGTTGAATTTATTCTTACTAAAGTATGGCAGTTAATATAAGGGGAAATACAGAGTGTAATTTGCTTATTAACAGGAAAATTTTAATCCCTAAAAAATCTGAAGGTTTATTTTTATAGGTTTTTTTCTTCAAAGATTTTTTTCTTTTTTGCCATTTGATTTTTCTTAATTGAAAACTCTTAAAGTACATCTAAGTTTCATTGTGCTTAGAACAGAATTCTCTTTAAGTCAGCTTATTAGTCTGTAAATCAAGCAAGAATCAGCGCAATATTGATGGTATATCTGAAGAATAAGGGCAGATCTCTTGCAGGACCTGTTTAAGGGAGACCATTCATAGTAGTGACTCCACCTCAGCCTTAAAGTGCATTTGGAAATGTAAACACATAGACTACTTTATGTAATATATGGTGACTTTTGATTTTTCTGTACAGTTTTTGAATGTGAGATAATTGTTAGAAATGAAGTAGTATATATATATATATATATATATATATATATATATATATTTGGAGT